ACGACGCTGTTGCCATGGCAACCCGAATTAAAAAGTGTATCCATAACAGTCTAACTTCAAATTTCAAAATACGAATTACGAATTCAGTGGCACAGTGACATTTAACGATTTAGCTGGGATTATCGCCTCAAACACTAACTTAATTCCATCCGCGATCATAGGCAGATATCGGTAATAATTGAATCGCTGCATTACGCGTCGGTGTGAGGGGCGGCCGTCGCGTCGCGAACCCACGCAACCTTTCCTTTATAAATATTGAATGTCAATACGATTATTTACGACAGATATGTTGAATATAAATGAGAGATAAAGGATCAAGTTCGATTTCTGTATAAAGAACTGTGACAATAGCTCTTTTGTCGAGTCAGCCATTTTATTTGTATGCAAATTAAAATCTTCAACAAAAGACCGTTCGTGTCGGATAATCAAAATATCTGAACATAATATGAAAAGTATCAATTTGATATGCAGGTTCGCATAAAAAATACAAAAGGGTTAGGTATGTAGGTAAATGCCTACATAATAATATTAGAAAAGTGAAAGCTTATGAATGTGAGTAGGGTCAGCGGACGAACATTACCTACTATATGAAAACAATAGCACATCAAATGGAATTTCTAACTATCTCTCGATCAAATTGACATTTTTATTTTACACGAATTTAAATTATGAATAATCTACAATCTGTCCAAATTATTTGGAAACTACTGTAATTGAACGTTCCTTTTTCTTTATAACCTCATTCGTATTAAGCATTCCAAAATCAAATCCTAATGTAACTTAACTAGTCTTCTAAAAACGTGTGAATAGTTTTTTCAATATGAGCAGCCAGATATTATGACACAGGGCAGGAACCCACGTAACACACCTACTATTGTGACCAGCACGCGACCAGGTAGCGAGGTGAGGCGCTACACCTGCCGACAACTGTCTCACTCTTTATGCCACAAGTGGGTTACAAGAGCAAAAAAATCACACCAAAGATCAGCTGTGTGTTGACTCCAAAATATATTTATTTGTGCGCACACACAGGTCAAATAAAATCATTAAACTCTTTGCAAAAAACAAAGTTCCTTCCTCCAGACTATCTGCATTTGAAATGAAGCCAAATAAATATTCTAACGCACTGATTATGCAACGAACCGATTCACGTGTATTCAGAATACATAACAAATAACCGGTTTCAATTTCTGATAACACATGCTAATATAATGGAAAAAATGCTGTGAAAAATTATACATTTTTCCTTCTATAAAATATAAAGTATGTATCGTTGTTTGCACTTTATAAAACCAGTGCGGAACGTAACGATTGTTGAAAGATTAAAATACATTACAACTATGCAAGTGAGGTGAAAGTGAACTCAACACTCGATTAATTATTTTACTACATCAGCTCATAATCAAAAACGTAATTTTTCATTGAAATACAAAGAAGTTTTGTAAAAATAAATGGCACAAACATATTTAATTAAAATTAATGCAAAACGCCAAGCGGTGTTGTCAACGCGAAAAAATAAAATCACGTAGCCCGCCAATTATTTCAATTAATGGTACGTCGCGGTGTCGACAGGAAAAGGAAGCGTGCGGTCGGGATATGAGCTAAGTATAGTCCGCGATTGTGCACTGAGTGACAGCTAGGCTTGATTAATTAATTTGTGGCTCTCTATTCGCCGAGTGGGGATAATAAATCGTGCGTTCTGGCCTCCCGTGAGATGTCGCCAAAGCCAGACACACCGCTGAATAAATGATTGAGTCAAACGCAAACATTATATGTGTCGGGACAGAAATAAACGGCTAATGATGTGTTATACAGGTAAGCGATAATAAAGTCTTCAGATCTCGTTACTTTACATCATTAGAATGCCCGGATTGTTCATCAATTTTGACTAGCTGAAAATGTTTCTGGATTATATTTGTTTCGCTTTCATTTGATGCATCTTCAGTTATTTTAGTTTCGAATCTAGATTATTCTATTATTGTATTTATGTTGGAAACAGTAAATCATATGACAGCGTGTGTTATTGCCGAATGCATAACATTCATGAATCATAGCCACGTATTTATACTTAACGTGAATCTGGTCGACAATAAAAATTATTGCACGCCTTGAACTGAGGCTACTCCTAATCAGCCGTCATAATTATTAGCATAGGAACTCTAAACCGGTGTGGTGAGCGCAAAAAATGACGCCAAAATATCGATGTCGTTCCTTTTGACGAATTATGAACATGCACAAAAACAGTTCCGCTAAATAAACAATATGCAGTCGAATTTCGTAGTCCCGTCGCAGATGGGAACCTTCGCCCTGCAATAAAACGAGCTTGTAACCGAATCGCAGCCGAATTCGTTATTAATAATGATATCGGCGCCATTTTGTAAAAGCCGCCACATTGCCGGCGACACACGTGTTGCATAGATGTCGCCAAATATGGTATTTGTTTGATGTGTTGTGAGAGCTGCGAATTTTGTTCATGTTATTATTTCTTGTGGAAAAAGAAAAAGCTGTTAGTTTTTGTACCAAAACAGAATTTTTCAGGTAATGTATAGCAATTATCCAAATTACATTTTGAAAGAAATATCACCAGATAGGTATGTATCTTCCTGTAAAAAGTCTATTTCATATCCTTCAATTATGTACTTATTTACTTAACATTATGATCCATTCAAAACGTACATCACCATCTTGACATATTTTACCGGATAGTTACAAAATTAGGTAGGTACCTACTTACCTACAACAAAAAACGCATTGCAATAATTTCTTTTATTCTTTAAGTTTTTAAGAGGCTCCTTTCTAAACAATGGCGCCTTAGATATTTGGCCTTGATGGCAAGTAAAATATAATAATAATAATGAAAACTGCAATAAACCCTAAGTAAGATAGGTACCTGATACTAACAATAGAGGGACCGCAGATAACTAAACAAAACAATAGACAATATTTTTTTTCTTTCGACAGGTCCAAAATAATGCCGCGAACGGTTTTATTACTTGAATATTCGAATGTAAGCTCGGACTCAGTTATTTTTACGTTTTTGCAGAAATTATAATTTTAAACCCCTGTTTTTCTTCCCCGCCAAGAACATTAATTTACGAAATCTATGGCCAAGGTCCATCATCTCATGTTATTTACGCGTGCAATTGTTATCTGTGTTTACTTAATATTAATATTAGACTTAAGTAGGTTTTTATTTTAGTTTTCTAAGTGACCCTATTATGCCGTCCAGCAAAAATAAATTATCTATTAAAGTTAAAAAAAAGGGTGCCTATACCTACATAAAACTCTGCTAAAATCTGACTGCCTAAAATAATGTGATAGGTAATAAGGTAAACACTAAAACTAAAAATGTTTTATAGTACTAGCCTACCTACCCTGGTTTAGGTAGCGAGCTTGTCGGTAACAAAACAAAACAAATGAATTCAAATGATCAACTAAATTTTGCCAGAATATATCAAAACTTTACCAAGTATTGTCGAAAAACGTGTTCAATCAATACCTATTTAATTCAGAAAGTTTCTAATACTAATGAAACTAAAATGTCAAAACAAACTTTATTAGACACGGAAGGACACATTTCAAATGTGGGTAGGTTACTCTATTTGAAGGTTGAAGAGGGTAGGTAGGCCTTATTTGAACCACGCAAGTAGGGGCGGCATATAGGTAACTAAATCTCTTAATTGCCGTGAAGCTTACGAAATTGCAGTCAAGCACAAGGCGTTATTCTAAACTCCATGTAGTTTTCGAGATTATGATATCACAATAAGTAATAATAATTTACACTCAAGTCGAACCTGGCGCCGCTTGCTCGGCAGTTGCGATGACAACCACTCAACCATTGATGCAAGTAAGCAGGTAGAAGTGTCGTAACCCACCAAGTGTAAATTGCTTTAATTTCTTAAATAATTCAGTTTAGATGCGATAGGCATTCTAAACGCCATAATAATTGTACCTTTATACATAAGTTTAGGTACATCTTGAAAAAATTATTGTACCTAATGTCAAAGTTATCCATTGTAAGTATTTATTATCTATGTATCTTTTTATGAATCCTTATTTTCATCAACTAATTAAAATAAATTCATACCTACATCAACAAAGAAGGACATACATTTTCACATTAAGCCTCTTTGAATAAAAAAAAAACAAAACAAACTGAGAAATGGCTTTGGTAATATCTACCTACCTACGTAGGTGTGTGTTTATATGTAGGTAATTTACATACATGAGTCGTACTCAATATTTGGGACATATTAACATAGTTTAAGTACATAATATATCTTTATACAGATATGTGTACAAATAAATAAGTGGATACTAGACTCGGCTAGTTTAATTTTTTGCGCCTACCCTCTGACTATTTGTTTACAGTTATGATTTGTGCGTCCGCGTCCGCACAAAATCTCAAACTGCAGCGACGCGACGCCATTTTTTTATTTTATTACCGAGTTCGAATGTTATTTTTTCCTTTCTTGTTAATCTGACGGTACCTATATCGTCTTTAGATCGGTAGTTGTTTATTTATCTACCTACATACTATATAAACAATATTTTCCATTAATCTTTACCAAACCACGTTTTCCCGTGTTATTTTTTTACCTAGCCTCAAAACTAAGCATGCTTACATAATTAAAACCAAAATAAATCTAAGTAAAATATTAACTTGACACCTAATAAAGAGATAGGCAGCTTATCAGAGTGCGGTTGTCATAACAACCGGTTGCAGTCGGCAACATAACAACGCGCCGCTTAACAATAGCTGCTAACAAAACGTCAAACATAGACAACAAACCGTCCAGGGCTCACAAAATGCCGGCAGACAATATACGACGGACTCCAACAGCTTGGGAACACAGGAACGAGGCCTTATAAGGACTTATAACATAGTTATAATGACACAAACGGATCCAATACCTTGTAATTAACATGTTCATGTATCTGGAGCTCAGCTGCATCGCCAGTTTAAACAAGAATAAAGGTATAAAACAAAAGGAACTTACCACGGGACTGTCGTCGCCAAGATCCGAATCTCGGTCGGCGTCGGCCATGGCGTACGCCGGCACCGGCTCTCGGTTCTTCACCCGAATCTTGGCGGCTTAACAGAGCACGGTACAAGCAATACGCCACGACAGGCACGTGCTTAGGTCAGTTAGGTCACACACTCGCGTCGGAAACTCGGGATCGGATAGAACGGGACGCGGGCCGCGGCGGCAGGAGACGAGCGTCGCGTGTGCGTGCACGGAATGGTATGGCGCGCGCCAGCTCGCCGGCCGGGTCCCCCTCTCTCGAGGCCCCGCCTTAAGGCGTCCGCGTCACGGCGAATCAAACCGCTCGCTATCAAACTGATATTCCGAGCGCTCGCTCCGCCCGCCGCACTTATATTGTTTTTATTCAAGCTATAAAATAATCGCGTGGCATTGATCGCTCTTTGTGATTAATAGCGATAGTGAAACGCGATATTAATGCGCCTTAATCGGGGTTTCGTTTGCGCATTTAATGAGCCTGTTAATGTTAGTTTTGTTTGTACGTATAGTAAGTATAGCTGCGTTTGATTAATGGATTCGATGAATGAGGTCGGCTGTTAAATGAACAATCCGTTCATTCACCAATATGTTTCATTTTAATTGGTTATTATAATTATTAATAAGATTGGGATACGTTTTAATAAGTTTTGTAAATAAATTGGGGATTATGTAGTTTTAAGGATATTGTGTTAACGTAAAGTAACGCGTTGAAGTCTTTACTTAGCTTATGAAGTAAGTGTTAATAGATGCTGATCATGTAATTAGCGAGGAATTATAGAAATATTAAAGATAACTCAGTAGGTACCTAATTACGTACCAACGTATATTATAGAATGTTATCAATTAATCAGTCATACCTACCTAGTGTTTTAATGAATAAGTAAACAGTAGGGAACATACCTAGGTATGTTATAATATAATATAAATCTTAGGAATTACATAATTGATGTTATTCTTCACTAAACTTGAAATAACTAAGTTGGGTAAGACAAGTGCTTGTATAGCGTTTTCCCACTTATTTACTTTTATTATACCTACCTATGTTAGGTACCTACCTACCTAGTCAGATACAGAAATCCATCATGTCTATCACATCATCAGCATAGGTATAGTTACCTCTGCTAAGCAAAGGTTTGATTATACATATAAGGCATTAAATACCAGCCACCGTAAGCGCGGGTCTGCGGACGGCGAGTAAGGGTAGCTCGCCGCCCGACCAGAACCAGACCCGAGCGTACGGCGCGTGTCTCAAAGAGCCAATAGACCATAACAGACAGAGCCCTCTAGGTATAGGTAAGGCTGATGTTTAGCCGGGGTTGTGGGGCAAATGTAATAACTAATAAGACTTCGGCATCTATAACCTAAGCGAGAAAGTGGCAGCCAGGGTTGGGTGGCTCGGAATGTCAGACTATTACTGACAAAAAACCCCCCGTTTCTTCTCCTGCTCTAGCTAGAAGCCGGTACCTGATTGCGCTAGCCCCGCAACCCCGGGTGAACATCGGCCCTGTCTGTGGCGATCTGTTGGATCCTTGGGGCGTTGAACGCTTTCCGCTGTACGCTCGGGTTTGGTTCTGGTCGTGCGAGCTACCCTAGCTTGATCGCCATTTGTAGACACGCGCACTTGATACCTACATATGACTCGGAAAATGTCAGATTTGTAGGTACCTACTTACTTGCTAGGTTTCATGTCAGACATAAAGGGTTTTCCCCTTAAAAAAAATAATAATTCAACATAATAATCTTCTAACTTACTAATAATAATCTTGATTGGTGATTGGATTCGATTTTTATCACAGTGTTCTCTTTATAAAGATTTGATATGTAGATTTCAATTCTTGGCTGTATAGTCAACATAGGTAAGTAGAAAAGGCTCTATTAATTAGTGATTGGAATTAAACAATTATAGTAGGTAGCAAATCTTAAGTAATTAATGGATAATTACCTATAGCAACCTTTGTCGAACATAATCTACGAAAGCTTAAAACTCTAGAAACGGTATAGACGTACCTACCAAATTAGAGGTAATTCGTGAGTAAGATATTTAAATTATCTCCAAAAATCACTACGTTGGTGAAAACCACATAAAATTCCGTTCAGCAGTTTATGTGTATTTCGCGAACAGATAGAGAGACGTAGATTTTTATATTTGTTACGAAGCTACTACACAGCTGTGTTTGATATAATTGTTATTATACCTAACTACCTGGCTAACGTACCTAGGTACGATGAAAGGGTCGCTGATCGCCCGAAATTCCCATAAACTCTTCTAAAATTTTCTTCTACAAGAATCTAAGGAAAAAAACAGGGTTTTTCCTCTATGCCTCAACTGGTCGCTTTTTTCCTATTTCTGATTAGCATAATAATATATTTTTATTATAATTTTCGTGAGACATTCTAAATTAATTATTATTATTAAATAATAATTTGACGAGATACTCGACTAGTTCACTAGGTACACGCGACGCGGCGACAGTAGTAGGTATCGTATCGCGGAATGCTGCTCTTGAATATGGGCCTCTAGCATGGCTTGAAACTAGTCGAGTATCTCGTCAAATTATTACGTGATTCAGCCGAAAACATAATAATTAATTCACAATAATGTAGGAACGATAGCCGAGATTTGTAAAACAATTGCTAGACTGACTGTCAAATATATGTATACCTACCGTAGTAAGTGCAGCAACCTTTTAGATCTCAACCATTTAGCGGACTTTCTCAACCAAGGAAATGAAATGCATTCTTTAACGGTTTTCATTATTGCAATGGTGAATGTAAAATTTTATTGTTTCATCGTTTTGTACAGTTTTTATTTATGTTTATCGACTATTGATTATAGGAGATATTTCTATATCTACACACTAGTTACTCTCGCGCGGTTTCACCCGCTGCTCGGCTGCATTTGATTGTAGCGTGATGTTTTATAGCACTCAGGAACATTGTAGCTACCTATCAGTGAAAGAATTTTGGCAATCCGACCAGCGGTTCCGAAGATTACCCCCTATATACAAACTTACCAACTTACAAACATATAAACTTATAAACTTACAAATTTTACCTCTTTATAATATTAGTATCGAAGTATAGATAGTATGGATTACATTTCGCATTTAACGTGAAATATTTAAATACCATTACACTTCTGTTTGAACTGGATGTATTGTTTAATATTAATTGACTTCACCTTCGACGATAAGGACAGTGTAATAAATACTGATAACTTCCAAAATTGAAATAAATTTTTTGTAGGTAAAACTTCCCACCAGCCCACCTGTCACCCGAGGTCATGGGTAAGAGCCGCGTTGCGGATTAAGGTCTTTATACTATGTTAAGGTGCTGCAGCCTCGACCTGGTACAGGAAAAGGAACGGGAGTTTTCAGTCAGTAAGAGCTTGACGTATTAGCCTGTCGCACTATCCTGGGCGGGAGAAGACATTTGATGTCTTACCCTCATCAAAAAAAAAAACATGTCATCTATCAATCAGTAACCGATACATGTGTGACCAAAACAAATGATAAGTGGGAGAAGAAAAACACCAGAGGTGTTACAAGTGCGTTGCTAGTCTGTTCGGCGGCGGCGTTAGGTTTTTTTTATGGAATAAGAGCCAAACGAGCAGACGGATTACCTGATGGTAAGCGATCGGCGCCGCCCATGGACATCTGCATTTGAGTAAGTACCGCGGCATTTGGGACCTCCTATGAGGGCGAAGATCTTGCTTTCGCTAACCTCATTCACATAGATTTTTTTTATGGAATACCTTAGTCGGTAAACGAGCAGACTGATAACCTGACGGTAGGCAATCGGCGCCGGACACCCGAAACACCAAAGGTGTTACGAGTGCGTTGCTGGCATTTGGGGGATATGGGTTTCGGATATTTAAGGATAGGGGAGGGATGGGGGAGAGATTGTCCCTCAAAGCTGTGGTTGTTTCACGCCGGTCGAGTCGACCCATTCGTGCCGAAGCTTGGCTCTCCCACACTTAAGATAGACATAACATAAGTTGCAAAGATAGATAGACATAGCCCAAGCAAGCATAACAGAAGCATGGGTAACCACATTTCAATTCGAAATTCGAAATCTGATGCAATTAATCGATATCTTAAAACGCAATTAGAGAGAGAGAGAGAGAGAGAGATAGAGAGAAAGAGAGAGATAGCTCTGGTTTTCATGCAATCACTAGTCAGTAGTCTGAAGCAGACAATACAAATAAGAGCAACTGCTAACTGGTATAGGTACAGACGTGGGTATGGGTATAGTACCGACAACAACAATTAATACGGCCGGCAGATCAATCGCTTGTCGAACACTGCAAGCGGTTTTGTGCGGTACAAGTTAGAAGAGGTTTCTGGTTATGATATAAAGGACCTAAAGTTGTGTTTTATGAAATGTAAAGGAGATATATCCAAATAAGATATGGTATGAAATCGTTGCATTTGCAAGATTTTATATTGTACGGATTTAGGTAAAAAATGTTGTGCCTGTCCTCGGCCAGAGCTGGGGAGATCAGCGTGTCGAAGGCAGAAGGCACACCTTCCTATATACTTACTGTAATATTAAATATGTATATTATAAAAGAACTTGCAGTGGGGAGGTTTTTAGTCAGTTAGAGTCTGACACTCAGTCTCACCTAAGCCGAGCAAAGTCTACCGATCATTTTTCCCACAAAAAATAGCACTGACGTCTTGTTCACTACTATATGATTGCATATCAGCTACTTGGTGTTAGGGTCTAGTTGTGATATGTATGAAGGTCTTGTACGCTTTCAAAGACTAAAAGACTTGTGTCCCAAAAAGTTGAAAAAGAAAAGACACAAACTAAATGGCACAAAGTTTTATCATCGTATGCCCATGGCAAAATCGTATCTGAAGTCAGCAAACTGATGCTGTAATTCCAACTGATTGTCCAGTTGCAGACAAGAACCTATGGCAGCAGTTCTTTTGCTCTAAAATCACATCATAAGCACACTGAAGATTGAACAGCGAAAATAGTATAGTATTAAAATTTTATAAACACAAGCTTGTGCCTTGCTCCAACGCCTCAGTAATCGCTCTGGGCTGATTGATGAACTCCCCCTCCCACCCCGGCGAGCGAAGTGGACTCCCCCGCCGTTTAGCTCGGTGATCCATGGCTATGAGATCTATTACCCAGGCTACATTACCACAATGCCTTGGTAAGTTCTTTTTTTATTTTACACAATTTCTATCATACTAAATTAT